CATATAAGAACTCACAGTGGTGAGAAGCCTTATGAATGTAAGGAATGTGGTAAAGCCTTTAGTCGGTCCTCATACCTCAATTTACATGTAAGAACTCACAGTGGTGAGCGACCTTATGAATGTAAGGAATGCAGCAAAGCCTTTTGTCAGTTCTCACATCTCACTAGACATATAAAAATTCACAGTGGAGAGAGGCCTTCAGTAAGGAATGTGGGAAAGCCTTTAGTTATTCCTCATCCCTCACTGAATACATAAGAAATCACCCTGGAGAGAAACATTTTGAATATGTGGAATGTGGGAAATCTTGTGATTCCTCAAGCCTCAATAATCATATAAAAATTCATGGCTTAAAGAGATGCTTTATAAATGTAAGCAGTTTGTCCACGTAAATGAATTATGAAGAAACAACTGATGGTTAATTGCAGACATTCACGCCATCCTTTAAGTTCCTACAAATAAGGTCAGTTTCCTACCAGAACGACCTAGATCTTCATTGCCCTCACAACAAATGAAACTTTCTTCAGTTGTCCATAAATTATCTATTATGACTGTTGGGTTTTTTGAAGTTAGGATCCAAACCATATTTCCACACTACCTTTTTATTTCTAGGTCTGTTTAATCTGTCTTACAGAGAACATTCTCCGGCTTGTCTTGTAAAACGTTAAAATGTTCAACATTGTGATACAGTCCAATCTGTGACAGCCGGAACCTGTGCAAGTCAGAAACCTGCCAGAGAAGAAAAACTCACTAGGTGTTCATGATGTAGGATTCTTAATAGAGACCAAAAGGAAAATGGTAACCACGCAAAGGTGGAAAACATGCAAGACCTGGTAACACAAGGCACTCCCATCCCCTTCTGGCTCTCACAGGTTTTACTGTATTTGTTTTATTATTTTGTTTAGTTTGTCTCCTGTATTTTTTGTAACACAGACATTGAGTCTTGCACAGTTCTAATGGAAATGTAATGCACGTCAAAGATGTAATTTAAAATATTTTAGCAGCTATATTAGACATTTAAAAATGTAAATGTGAAATTTTTAATTAAGAATCTTATTTAACCCAATATGTCCATTTCTTGTCAAGGTAAAAATTATAACTGAAATTAATCAATATGTATTTATGAGACATTATATATTTCCTTTTTTTGTACTCCATCTTCCAGAATCCAGCAGCAGCACATTTCATAAATTTTATTGTTGAAAGGTAGATTCACAATTCCAGGTTGCTCCAGCATACTTTTCTAATAATTGAATCAAGTTTATTATTTAAATTAATAAAAATTAAAGTTTATTCAGTTTCTTAGTCTCACCAACCACATAGATTGTTGATACAACCTTATTAGTGTTTCAGTGAAAAAGAATTCCTGGATCACTTTGTACTTTCCTGTTCCAGATCTGGAATCAACCCTTTTCCCCAAACCTCTGGTTCCTTTTAAAAACCAAGATGTGTGCAGTACATGGGCTCGGTGATAAACCAAAACATTGAGTGAGTTTTGTCTCAGCCTTTCAGTGAGCATGTAAAATACATAATTTCTTACATCATAAATTCATACTCTTATTCCTAATAACAAATTTAAGGTTTTATATATCTATACTTGTACAAATAAATATGTAAATGTATAAACTATATATACAAGGAATGGTGCCGGACAATGTTAAATATGCAAAGTTGTGCTGGACAGTGTTAAATAGGGAAACGACTTTATTCAGCCTGTTGCAATAGGAAAGAGATCTCAGCATAAGTCTGAGTTCAACTCCAAAGGGTAAGGTGAGGCAAGAGGTTTTTTTATGAGTTCTGGGTGTCACGGGGCACTGGAAACTTACTGATTTGAAGTTGGCAAGCAAAAATATGGTAGGAAGATGGGTTTTAAGCAAGAATTCTAATGGTTTTCGGAAATGTTTGCTTACAGCTGATTTAGGCTGAAGCAAGGAACATTCATGGGATAAAAGTAAATGGGCAAATGTCACTTTCTGTTATATTTGCATCTTTTTCTGTTAATAAAAACCTGGGCTGCTAATAATATTGAAATTGTTTCAATGTCATAATACTAATAGAACTGACTAAAAAACTTATTTTCTGAAGTACTGAGTTTTTCACCTTTGTTTTTCTACATCCTGGTTATACATTTCCATTAAGGATATTAACACAAGGTTATGGTGCTTAAACATTGGCTTGAGCACAGACTCTCTTGTGCATGGTCATGTGATCAGTTTGATACTGTTTCCTGCCATCAAGTTGGCTCCAGCTCATGGTGACCTTATTCATGTTGTTGTGTACTATGAAGTCGATTCCAATTCTTAGCAACTCCGTGTGATGGAGTACAATTGTCCCATAGGGTTTTCTTGGCTGTAATCTTCACAGAAGCAGTTTGCCAGCTCTTTCTCCTGTGGAGCTGCTGGGTGAGTTTGAACTATGAACCAATTGGTTAGTAGCCATGTGCTAAACCATTGTGCCTCCAGGGCTCCCTGACCTCCTACATAACAAGACAAATTGTTGCCCAGTTCTGCACCATCTTCAGGATCATTGGAGTGTTTTGAGTAGTGCCAATCCAGAGGGCTCATCTTTCAGCACTATATCAGACACTGTTCTGTTGGGATCCATAAGGTTTTTTATTGACTGATTTTTTAAAGTAGATTGCCAGGTCTTTCTTCTTAGGCTGTTGAAGTCTGTAAGCTCCACTAATGCTTGTCCACCATGGGTGACCCTTCTAGTATTTGAAATACTGGTGGTATAGCTTCCTGCATCAGCAACATGCCAGCCATCATAGTATGTCAAACTTGCAGATGGGTAGTGGCAGTTTGATATGTTTTACGTTTACTTGCTTATGTGTACATTTAATGTTAAGGTTTGCTTTCCTTTTGTATTTCTTTAACATATAAAACTTTCGTATTGTTCAAAACTGAAGACTATATGAAAAGATGTATTCAGAATGCTCACTTCCTCCTGTAGTACCTGTGTTCTGTTAGTACCACCACCAGTTACTAACCATTTCCAGTTTGTTTCCTGTGTAACCTTTCAGTGTTTCTCAGAAATATCCCTTCCCCAGAATACATAAACACATACGTGAGTGTATGTTGGTTATTTATCATGTTTTCATCACATAAATATATTTTCTCCCACTTAATATATACTGGACATCAATGTATCTCATTTCATAGTATAGAGACCAAGGCATAAGCGTTGGCAACAGCTGTGCCCATGTGAGGTAGAGCAGAGGAGGGCTGGTGGACGCTTTACTTCTGTCTCAGAATGTCCTTGGTCAATGCTGTTGTGTGCTGTCGAGTCCATTCCAACTCAGTGACCATATAGGACAAAGTAGAACTACACTATATGTTTTCCTAGTTGTAATCTTTACAGGAACAGATCTTCGAGTCTTTTCTCCTGTAGCATTAGGTAGGTTCTAACCACTGACCTTTCAGTTAGCAGAGCACTTAACCACTACGCCACTGGGGCTCCTTCCTTGGCCAGTAACCATGTGTAAACATCCTGACAGTTCACCTAATACTACCTTGTTAGGCAGTGCTCATCAAGTGGTGAAGAAAATAACCAAACTCTTCAAAGTCTTTATTTTTTCTTTTTGCATGTAGATGGAAAATTTTCAGTTTTAAACATACGGTTCAAATGTTTAATATCAATGATATAAATCCTAGCCCTTTGAGGCCCTTCTATTTATGGACAAATATTTCATGGGGCCTAGTCTCTGAAGAAACCCTGGTGGTGTAATGGTTAAAGCACTCAGCTGCTAAGTGAACAGTGGATGGTTGGAACCCACCAGCTCCTGTGTGGGATAAAGATATCGCAGTCTGCTTCTGTAAAGATTTACAGCCTTGGAAACCCTATGGAGCAATTCTGCTCTGCCCTTAGGGTCGCTATGAGTTAGAATAGACTTAATGGGAATGGGTTTGGTTTTTGTTTTGGTTTAAGTCTCTTTGAACCCCCACTCGTCTGTGCCTTTGTTGTACTGTGGTGGCTTACATGTTGCTGTGATGGCTGGAAGCTATGTCACCGGTATTTCAGATACCAGCAGGGTCACCCAGGTGGACAGGTTGCAGCAGGGGTTCCAGACTAGACAGACTAGGAAGAAATGCCTGGCAATCTATTTCTAAAATTATCCAATGATATTCTTATGGATCAGAACAGGATATTGCCCAACAGGAATGAAACATGCCAATGATCACGAAGATGGCAAAGCACTGAGCAAATTTTCACTCTATTATATATAGGATCTCCATGAGGTGGAGTGTAATGGGCAGCTAATTACAAAGTCTTTGTGAGACGCACAGACAGAAGGGGTTGGGAATTCTCAGCCACATATCTGCAGTTCTGTGTGACTCCATTAAACGATGCTGATGATCCTCTAACCCTTCTTAAATCCTTCTGTGTCTAAGCAAGTGTTTTTCTCACGGAGTGTCTGGAGTGGGCACAAAGAAGGAGACATTGAGATTTTTTAAATCTGTTTTGGGATGTGTAAATATAGCAATGGAGCCCTGGTTGCACAGTGGTTAAGAGAGCTGCTCACCAAAAAGCAGTTTGAATCCACCATCCGCTCCTTGGAAAGCCTGTGGGGCAGTTCTACTCTGTCCTGTAGGGTTGCTATGGGGGGGAATCAGCAACAGGGTTTTGGTTTTTTAAATGTAGTAATAACAACAACCCCAAGGTAGTATAAGATTGGCCTTTTCTCTGCCGCTAGAGTGGAGACTTTCAGTTTAAAACCCAGGGTTCCGATTGTGCAGATGTAAGAGTCAAACCCCACCTGGCCCTAACAGGACCCTCTTCTTGGCGGGTGATTTAAAGCGCTGCAGAGACCCTCGTTTTTAAATAACCTGGATTAGATTGTTTACGTTGGAGTCTGAATAAAAGGTTCCCTGACCTCTATGGGTCCTCAGGTCTTTGCCCATGGAGAGAGGAGGGGACAAGGACCCCAGAGCAGGGTTCCTAGTGGGGGAAATGTGAGTCTTAGACCCCTTTTCCCTCTCAGCTGCTCAGTCCCCTTTTTGCCTGGGGACCTCAGTATTTCCGCTGGCAGACACCTTATGGGGTCAAGTTCCTGCCAACCCCTTAGCTATGTGACCATGAGCAAGTTACTAGACTTGTTTTGCCTATTTCCTCAGTCATCAAAATGAATATCTTTCGCCTGGAGCATAGATCACCCCAACTCTAAGACACTGCTGCCTGGTGTAACCTCAGCCCCCTCCCCGGGCCGCCCCCACCTGATGCCCCTCCCCAATGTCACCACATCTCTGCTGTCAGCCTTTTGAGACACTCAGGCCACTAGATGTTCACTTGTACTCGGTCCAGTGGAGCAGCCTGAGGAGGGTGGGGCAGTTATTGTCTGTAGAAGACATTGGCTCACACTGCTGTCAAATTAGAGGGCCCCCTCCTCATCAGGCTGAGTGACCCTCCTGAAAACGCCATCCTACAACCACTGCTTACCTAGGACTGTAGTTTCTTCTGAAAGTAAGACTAGTTCCATAGTGATGCCATTTTTGTGAGGACTGCCTGGAATCCCACCACTGCCCCACATCAGGTCTGCATAGAAGTCCCAGTGCCCCAATGTCTGAGCCACACCGGCCTCACTTGCACAGAGCACACAAGCCTCCACCTTCCTCCATCTCCCAGCTTCCACGCTGCCGATGCTCTGTCCCAGGCTTCTGCTGCACTCTCCTTTGCAGACACCCTGCACCTCTCTGTGTCTGGAAGATGGAGGAGTTACCCCTTTGTCCCTTGACCCTTCCCCAAGAGGGTTGAGGTTTTTGTCTTTTTCCCTGAACCTGTCTGACTTGTAATTTTGCTGTTGTTTATAATTTTCAAATTTAGAATGTATTTACTTAAGTTGTTAAAAATCATTTCTGTTCTCTGGCATTCCTTTGTAGTACTTCCTTGGCTTAAACACCTGACAGGAAAGGACTTTTAACCCACTTGCACCCTGGTGGGCGGTGTCTCTCATGACCTGTTTTCTGATTACCCAGGTCATGGAATAATGAGCCCACCACATGGCTCTTCCTTCATTGTCAGCGTTGCACATATGGACTGACTTCTTAGGAAGATAGGTAAGAATCTGGCTGCCTGAAACCACCCCATTTCCCCTCTTCTTTACTACAGTTACATCACAAGTCTAGTGCTTCCACCTCTGCACTTGAGGTAACACCCCTGAGCCCGAACTCAGGCCCCGACCTCCCCTGGCCTTGGACAGATGAGTATCCACTTTTGCATTGTCCACTCCAGTGATGAGAAGTGAGCAAGGTGCTCACCTAAAGCACAATATCTGAAAGGGCTCAAAAACCTCAGTCATCAATATAATTCGTATTCTAATATAGCATGCTAAAAAATCAGAAGTAATGCAAAAAGTCCAGGATGAACAAAGCAGCAATATTTTAAACAAGAAGAGGGTCAGTGCTTGACTTTCCCCTTTGCCTCGTGTCCCCCATGGCCCTGGATTCACCTGGGCACATTTGTGCCCTGCTGTGTAACTTCAGATTCAGGAGGATCTTCCAAGTTGGTGACAGAGACACCACCTCCAGGAATGAAGCAGTGGCTGTGACCACTGTCTGTGGTATGTCACCCAGAGGGGCTATTCAAGTCCTGCCACACTGTCCTCAGGCTGTGCAAACATTGTGAATAACTTCAAGACAATGACATCAGTGCGTGATGCCAAGCGCAGCCCAAGGCCAGACTGGACTCGTTTTATGTCCTTACAGGGGCTCAACATCATGCTGGGCTCAGCTAAACTTGTGTGGTCTGTAGGTGTAAGGTTGCGAGGCTAAGTAGCCTTTAAGGTCAGACAGCTCGGGTCCCCATCTCACCCCCACCACTTGCTAGTGGTGTCAGCCTGTCAAACTCAGCCTCAGTTTCTTTGTAAAATAGATGTCCTCGTCATACCTACTGTTGGGAGAACTAAAGTGTAAACCACTGAGAAACGTGCCTTGCAGATCTAGGCACCTAGACTCATAGCGACTTCATGCGTCAGAGTAGAACTTTGCTCTATGTGGTTGGCAGTGGCTGTTTTTTTG